AAAAGATGTCCATTTACTCCATGAAAACGTCAAAACAGTGTGCATTTGGATTAACAAAAAAATACTGCATTAAAGCAACTATTGTAAACCAGCAAAAGAAGTTTTTATGTTTTCTCAAGTCGTGAATATCAAAACACCAAATATTGCTGCCAAACGTTAAAAGAGAATTAAAATGTCTGCATAATGTATTTTGTTTTAGCAAAGCACGAAAAATGAAAATACTACTAGAAAATTACCATCTGGCAGCGTAAGTGGAGGTAGGTTGAGGAGAATTCGCAAGGTCGTCTCAAAAGTTAGAGGACGCTTGATACCATCTCCTGACGTTATTATTTCCCCTGGCTATAATCAAAAACTGCACGATCTATCCCTTCTCCTACATAATCGTGTGCCTAATCAAGTCTGGAAGTTATTTGCGTCTTTCGATGTTGTCCTCGCTCGTTAAGGTGACACAGATAACAGGGATTTTGGCCGTACTGTAGCCAATTTGTCAGCTTTTCCTTGGCAGGATATTTGGGGTCAAAAGACGTTTATTGTCATAAAAGAGAATTTCAATAGTGTGTGTTTGACTCAATGGGATACCCGACTCTATTATGCACACCTTTGGCCATACTTTAGGTATATACTAACTTTTATTCACATTTTTTTTCCGTCATAAATTCAGCAAGAAAATCGATATTTCATATCCTGTCAGAGAGCCTAGACATTTTTAACTTCTTCGGTGAGAAAGTACTCCAGGAAGGGACCGGGTGCTTTAATTCTGCATTGACTGCACTAATTCGTAAAAAATACATTTGCAATACTGTTTTACTCGAGGTAGTGCTAAGGGTAGCAGGAATGGTACGCATTTGTATCACTTGTTTTAGACCTAGATTTCTCCTTCTTTCTAGAAGCAAAATACACACTGAATAAGGCCTAAAGTAATGATGTCGTACAAAGGGCCTTATTTTTAAAGGGTGAAAAAGAACATTTGTTAGGAATACCAAAGAATGACTTGGTGGTCTTGTGCAGTAAATCAAATGTGCGCGCAATCTGTTGACAAGACGACAGTGGAGACTACTAAAATGGAACCACAGTTGTGAAGTTCTTTTAAATACATCTACTTTACTTTGGCGTTGTTGGAAAGCTAAACGGGCATTTCAAAAGTTTTGAATGATTTTACATTCAGTCTATTTTGTATAAATAATGATAACTACTATTATAAAACAATACTTCTTGGAAAGGGTTTAAGCTTGGCTATAAACTACCGAACGGAAAACGCTTAGGGGCAGATTTTACTCGAAATTGACAGGTGCTAAACTGGTTAAGTTGGTCTGATAGAGTTAGAGGCTAGTGAAGAAGTGTTTTATTTCACCGAACGATTAAAATGGGATTGTGCGTTTTAAAAGAATTGTCATTTCATTACCGAGAACAAAGGCTAAGCTAAAAATAGCTGTCTATAATAGCAGCAGAATTTCATGTTTATTGAAAGCAAATCCTAGCTTAATTCATTTTTAATGGATTCGTTACAAGTTCTTCCTCTAAAGTAAAAATTGACGCATATATGGCGCCTAGAGCTTGCCTTGAAGTCGCTAGAAATCAGGGTAGTAGGGCAGATTAGATATTAGCGACAAACAGAAGTACTGTGTCTAATGGCATGGCATGGAGGCTATGCTGCCGAGAGGAATAACTGCAGAGTCCCGAGACTTCCCTGAAGACAAAATGAGGCACAATACTAGTGAAGAATATATATTCAGCACAGAGAAAGTATTTAGGCTACTAACATGACCCAAAGGCCAGCCAGCCCAGTGAGGTATAAGAAGGCAAATTCAAAAGTTCAAAAGTGGCGCCTCACCAATATTGAAAGATATACGACCATCGTATTGCATAATATTTGCCCATTCAAGCGCGAAGTCAAACAAACCACCAACTAACCAACAAGTACTCACACATTACCGTTCTTAGCTGCAGTCCATAAACAGCTATACAAAACACAAAATATGTGGCCTAATATAGTTACAATGACCAACAGGCTTGCTACCAATGTCCCATATATGTGACTCGCGTGCTCCACCAGAATGTGGGAAATGTTTGCACTAATGCGGGTCAAAGGCACAATTTCATGACCGCCATCCTCTCTAAAT